TGAAGGTGATTTAAAGAATTGAGGAACCTACATAATGGGTCAACTCAATGGTCTGTGTGAAGAAAATTAATGGTGCTTTGCACATCTGCATGGATCCAAAAGACCTCAATGAGTGCATAGTGAGGGAACACTTTCAAATTCCGAATTCGGCAGTGAAAGGCAGTGATAAAAGAAAGACAGTGCCTTTCTTTCTCACGAAGAGGTGTTGCCATACCACACGGTGATCCCGTTGGTGAGGACGCTCTCGATGGTGCAGCGGTAGAAGTTCACCAACACATGTATTGGCATCCCCCATCGCTTGAGGCACCTCAAGAAATAAAGGCGCTGCTGAGCCTTCTTCATGATAGAGTCAGTCATCTTTAGAGATGTGAATTCCCAAAAACCTAAAGCTGGTGACTGTTTCCACTTCCGTTCCATCAATACTGAGTGGGCTGTGAGCGTATGGTCTGTGTCTCCGAAAGTCCACTATTAGCTCTTTCGTTTTCTTTATGTTCAAGTCCAGGTTATTGCTATGACACCACCTAAGCAGCTGTACAACTTCATCCTAGTTTCTATTACAACAATAATGACAGCAAAATGCAACATCAAAAGGTTTCCAAAATAACCACAAGTGAACAAGTTAAAGAATTTTAACTTGCAGATAACAATGCAGATGTTTACGAAGAAATTGGAATATGCTACCATTACCAGCTACTGTATAGAATTATTATATTTATATCCATAAATTAATATTGTTAATGATGTTTAACAACTTATTTTTATTTTCAGCAATCAGAATTACCTTTTAGTTACATAATTCCATATAAATATTCATATAAAGTGGATTTAAATAAGCACATTAGGGAAACAAAATTAAATAAAGCCATCATTAACTAACATCTAAAACGCCACAAGTGCCAACTTTTGATTATCTTTGGCCAGTGAATCACAGAGCTGAATTACACAACAGTATGCTGCAACATATTCTAACACAGCAATGAGTTTTACTGTGCGTTCTGACTGGCTGCATCTTTATAAGCCTCAGCCAGTGGAGGTCATGAGCACCTTCTCCTCCTCTGTCCTGTTTTGTTTCACACAGCCAGGACAGTAGAGGTAAAATGGAACATTGTTTGGCACTGAAGAGGATGGTGGACACAACCAAAGTACTAGGAGCAGTTTCAGTATGGCAGGAAGAGGTGCACCAAGATACAAGACAAACCTGATTTAGGTTGTTGAGGTACTACTAAATAGTTACTGTATTTACATTACATAAATATCTACTGCATTAAATGTAATTTATTGCACTTGGCATTAAGCAAGCTGAAGTAATGTTTATAGTATAGAACTGTGATTCTTTCATATTGTACATTCATCCCTTGCTATACGCACAGTTGGTTCCATAATTTCTGCTTATAGGAGAAAAGTCAACTAAATTCCCATTAAATACACATTCATTCCCTGTACTTTTAACTGAACAAAACCATTTGAGTTCAAGGATTTTTTTCATGTATTTGAATTTTGAATAGTCTGGCACCATAAATTGCTAAGCTATATATTACAACAAGTAGAATTTAACAACAGTTCTTTTTTTATGCAGGCTGCTATGTTTAAATGCAGTATGCAAGAGTTATGTGGAAAACATTTGCACGATCCCTATAGTACACACAAACAATATAATGTATACAATATACTGACATTAACTAATCAAATGTTCTTACTAAACAAAAATTATTTATTACGGTAGTTAAGAAATCTTGTGCAGTCAAAGATCTGTAAATGTAATATTGGAAAAAAGGTATGTATATGAAGCGATCATTTTAATGAGTGCTCATTTAATGAGGAATGAGTGTACTTTAAATGTGTTTGTAGTCTTTTAAAGTATTCCATTCTTTACCAATAACAGTTCTAATCAGTAAATAAATTCAAGACACTAAAAACGTACACATTATGGAACATATGCCAGTTATGTGTTAATAATTGATAAGAACTGATTTATTGTTTTGCACATTCCTGGACAGCCAAGGTCTCTCAAATGGAGGTGTAATTCATGTATCCTACTGTACATTCAGATTTAGCAACATGAATGGAACAAGGGCCTTGGTTTATGGTCTAAGGCTCACTTACTTGCTTGACTCTCTGACCTTGTTTACACCTTATAAAGCAACAAACTGTTGCCGACCAATCATAAAAAAATGTATGATTTTTCAGGTGGAAATGCTGTTTCTTTGTAGAAATAAAAGCTTGTTCTGTTTGAAAAAGTGAGCGAGACAAGGTTAACCAGTTAACTTTATCTGTCCTCCTTTCTTTAATGCAATAAAGAAAACATAATTTGATTCATCAGAACCATGTGTGGAGTCTAACATACACAACACCCCAAAACACAATTTTTATGAAAGAATTGCAAAAATAAAGTTTCCCTTTCCATTCTAGGACACTGGATAATCGATGATCTACTGTATTTAAAACACAGATGTGTCATGGTTGACATCCCTCCCCTAGAGGGCGCTCCACTACTCTTGTCATTAGTTCCATGTGATTATTTGTATGTTCTCCCGGTGTGCCTTGTTTGTCTTTCCCTATATAACCCTAGCGCCTCCAGGGCTCAGCAATGGACTGCGGATGTCTAGAGGCCCGCTTACTACCTACTACTGCCTAAGGGCATAGGCCTCATCCCCGACTTCCCTGATCTCTGAGCCTGAAGGATGTACCCCCGTGATCTGATGTTCCTGTTTGTGTTCCCCCTTCCCGGGGATTTTAGCCTTATCCTTGTCTCTGGATGGATCTTCCAGTATAGGAGTTTTGGACTGTGCCCTTACCTTCATGTGGACCTATTTATTTCTAAAGAATAGAAAAATGATTTTCCATATAGGTAATTCCTATTGGAATTGATTGATTTGCACCCCATTTGTTATTGACTTATTAACCTATAGTACAGAGAAATAATCAAATCGATTAACCTGTTGTTAATGTCCAGATTCCTGGAAGTTTTCTTATGATGTCTTTCATCCTCACTGCCACTCACCGTCCCCTTGATCCAGATTTTATCTACATTCACTGTTTAAGATATTTTAGCAAAATTATAAATTCTATAAATCATTGTTGTCTATAAAGACACAAGAAACCAGAGTGGTACTTGTTACGCCACGCCCCTGGAGGACTCGTCATTCCACCTCTCATTCCAGCACAGATCCCAATTAGCCCATTTGCCCCAGCCTATTTAATGCTGCTTCATACTCTCAGTATTAGGGTTTTTCCTGGCTAGAGCTACTCAAATGCTCATTAAAATACTTACTACTTGGTGTTTGGCTTCCTGACCCTGGTTTGTTCTCCGACTATGTCTCCTGGTTTTGGTTTTGGTACTTTAGTTCTTGTTCTGGTTTTGACTCTCTGCATCCTCACGGCTTACGGCTCTGCTTCTGGTTTCTGTATTTTTGCGCTGGCTTGTTTATCTTCGGCTTTCGGACCTCAGATTGCTCTATCTACTACGCCTTTGGAAATCGCCCTGGTTTTCTGCATAGGGTCCTCAGTACAAGTCAATAGTGCATCAGTACACTAAGCTATCAGTGGGGAGGAGAACAGAGTGATGAAGCCAATTCATAAATGGGTATTATTAGGAGGCCATGATTGGTAAAGGCCAATGAAAAATTTGGCCAGGACTCCAGAGTAAAACCCGTATTCTTTTTGAGAAACACCCTGCGATTTTTAATGAGCACACAGAGTCAGGACCTCGGTTTTACTTTTCATCTGAAGGACGGCTCCTTTTTACACTATAGTGTTCCTTTCACTATACTGGGGCATTAGGAATTACAAAACACAGATGACAAAAACTTGCCATCTCTTGAGTGGCTCCATTATGTCTAGAGAGCTAAACAGGTTTGAGATCTCCCAGGTCAGGATGAATTTTTTATTGTGTTTTCTGCATCTACCTGTTTATCATTGATCTTTCAATTGGATGTCTGTCACTAAATTACTTATAACTGGAACATAGGATGGCCTAAAAGGTCATCCAAAATCGGTGCTCAAAGAAATGACACTCTAAAAACTGCATCTTTTTAGTCTCCAATAAAGAAGTCTACTGTATGTGGCAATCTGCTTCAATTCTTATTCTTCAAAATCAACACTAAACATGAATTAGACAACACAAGTAAAACCAATGTAGTAATAATATGCTAACAGCCATATCACCCTGCAACCAGTTGAAGCTAAACAGATATGAGCCTGGTCAGGTCCTGGATGGGAGACCTCCTGGGAAAAACTAAGGTTGCTGGCTATACTGTAAATAGGTGCCATTCTTTGGATGAGACATAAAACTGCGGTCCTGACTATGTGGTCATTAAAAATCCCAGGGTGTTTCTCGAAAAGTGTAGGGGTGTTATCTCACTGTCCTGGCCAAATGTCCTATAGCCCTTAACCAATAATGGCCTTCTATTAATCCCCCTCTATGAATTGGCTTCATCACTTCTCCCCACTGAGAGCTTTTGTGAGGTGAGTGTTCTGGTGCACTATGGCTGCACATTGGTGTTGGAGAGTCCCCATTACCTATAAAGCGCTTTGAGCAGAGTGTCCAAAAAAGTGTTATATAAGTGTAAGGAATATTATCAGTAGTAGTAAAACACATGATTCTCGACAATCAGGACAAGCAGGAGGAGGCTGAGAACACCCAAACTCTCAACATAGAGTAACCAAGGCTTATATAAGTTTTTTTTTTTCTGGCCTGACCTCCAAGACGAGTTGTGGGTGGAAATATCTGAGTGACCACTGGAGGCGTAGGCACACATAAATAACTGGGGAAACCTATTATCGACTCATTTTGTAAAACTGAATAAATAATGAATCATTAATTACATCCTTATGTATTTTCCCGTAAAAATAAATTAAACAAAATGTAACTTTTTGTTTCACGAATAGGTTACATACGTTAAACAGGAAATAGGACAAACACTTTGGATTTACAGTCAGGCTGTGCAATGAACAGCCTTTCATGTTGACGCTATTTATACTGCGTCTCAGGAAGATAGAGGTCCTTACGTCTGTTTGTCGCATAAAGTGGAGTAGGGCGAATTGGGGGTCAGATTTTGAAGACTTGGAGGAATAAAGTCATGGCTTTTCGAGTGTTCCGTCTGTTTATGCCATCGAGTGCGGGCTCTCTAAGAGTAGGAATCAGAGTGCAAACGGTAAAACGATCCACACGTGGGAAAAAAAAAACAATTCTCCCGGTTCTGTCTAAATATTTGTTTTTTTAAGTGTTACCTACAACGCATGAGAATAGCGGTATTTTTTACATTAAGAGTCGTTGTTGTTGTTTGGAAGAAGTTGTTAAACCATGTATGACGCTAGTTTCTTTTAAGAACCGCTGGATAAGATTCTGGGTTCAATTAGCTTCGTAACATCAACACAGACTAAATTGGCTAAATGACCTATCATTTGTAACCTTTCTTATGCTCTTAAGGACTTTGTAATTTTTAGCTACTGGATTTTTATTTAGTTTGCAGCTTGTAAGATGTATAAGATCGCTGCAGGTTAAAATTTAAACTTGAATGTAGTACAGTACTTGACTTACATTACTTTTATCTGCAGTTTATTTGCATTAATAAGCAGGTCATTATTATGACAGTTTAGAAAGATCCGACCAATTAAATATCCATCAATCAAACATCAATAATATTCACATACTTCACATAGACCTCAAAATAATAAGTTACATTTACATAGCGCAAATATAGTCATTATTATAACAACACAGTCATTATTGGACCACAGCCACAGGACAGAGAAGGGACAGTATAGGAAGACCCACTTCATCCAACTTGTAAAACACTAAAGTGTAGCACAAATATGTATGTATTAGAGGTGGGTAGCTGCGTCAGCATGCGTAGGCTGCAAAGGAACAAGTAATAGGTTTATTCCATGCTGAAAAAAAGAAGAAAGAGAACACAACGTTTCGGCCGTGGAGCCTTCTTCAGGTGTGAGCAACCTGAAGAAGGCTCCACGGCCGAAACGTTGTGTTCTCTTTCTTCTTTTTTTCAGCATGGAATAAACCTATTACTTGTTCCTATGTATGTATTAGCACTGCTTACTGAAGTCCATTGAAAATGGGAAGAATCAGCGTAAATTTTCATCGATGCGTTCATGTTAAACGAGAGTGTAAGGTAATATAAACGAAATGCCCGTGAAATCTTTCTCAGAATGTGGCAGCCCTTTTCTTTACTTGTTCAGTTAAGACTCATCTCGCAGCTGTGCACTTCAGGTGAGGGTTCTATTGAGATCAGATTATCGGATTTATAATCTTTAGATTTATTTTATTTAAAAGTATAATTAGTACGAAATACAGCATGAGGAGTCATAATCATGATAAGCAAAATTTTCAACAACAAGCTACCTAATAATGTTTAATAATTTATGTAAACAATTGTGAGTGTTTATAGAGATAAATTATATTGTGTATAAATTATATATTCTGTAAAATACAATAAGTTCTAACATTAAATCTACATTCTTTATAAGATGGTACATCAATGTAATATATAAAACCTCTAGTATTATAACATTTAGCCTATCAAATGTCATTTTTATGCATTGCTCAGCGAACATGTCCGATAGCACAGCTGTAGATAAATGTAATTTGTAAAACTTTCAGTTATTATAACGTTTAGCCTATTGAATGTAACTTTTATGCATTACCCAGTGAAAATGTCCAATATCACAGCTGTAGCTAAATTTTTGTCTGGTTGTTCTTGATGTTCTGATCCTTAAGTTGGAGAATTTTCTATTAAAAAAAAAGCATTCAATCTTCAATGATAATCAATCATTTTTATATATGATTGCGTATCTTTTATATTAAACTTGCTATCGTTAATCACGTTAAAGGTGAAATTTGGAAATGACAATGTTGAGAGAATGTTGGAGTTGTCTGATCCACTGTTACTTGTTCATGTCTGGAAAAAGCTTATCCATTGGTCTTTGAATCTTGATTGATAGTGCCTTAATACAAACCATGTTTTCTTATCAGCAGAACGTCAGGTTTTTACACCATATCAGCTTTCTGAAAATGTGACATTATTCTTTCTTCGACATAGAGCGTTTTGATTTGGAACTCGGACTACCAGCCAGATGGGTGTTGCTAAGGAAATGGTTAACCATTTTCAAATTATTAACATGATACATTATTATTAATACAATCAACCTAAACCAACATTACTTTTTAAGAGTTTAGGACTAGATTTTAAAATGTGTGGACCAGTACCCTGACTAACATTGTAATTTAATGGTTTTACTGGAGAGTGGAGACAAACGTGTGGACAAAATAAATACTCTTTATGACTTTTTTCAGCAATAGAGGGTATATGCTAAACTGATATAATTTCCATATTTTGTTAAGGTGAATGTGTTCATAGAACAGATATGCTGCAAAATGGTGACATGCATTTTCCTTAGATTCCACTGTTGATTAACATGCAGATATAGGAATTATATCAATTCAGTAAGGTTGTCAGTCAGATTTCCTCACTTTAACATCATGGTCTATAAATGCCTTTGCTGATGCTTAGTTGTTAAAACTGGCACCACTTTCAGCTTGTCAACATTTTACCGAATAAATATGAAATAATGCTTACTTGTAATAACAGCTGGAGACATTGGACTCGGATCTAATCCTTTCACTTATTTTTCACTTGAAGGAGAACTTCAAGTCCCAATTTCTGATTATTAAATCTCAGTAACAATATAAATTCATTGACAGTATAGAAAAAATTATAAACGTTGAGTTAAGCACAGAAACGTGAACTTTGTGAAAGTACTGTATGGTCGCCATTGGTGTTGCAAATCCCTGGTCTTGACATACTTTGGGAAGTAATTTGGTGGTTTTACAAGTTACTGTGTACATTTTACTTTTATTGTAGTTTGAAATGCACTCATCAATGCTGATTCTTCCTAATATAAACATAGCATTGCAGTTCCCCTTTAATGGAAAGAGTTAAAGGAACAAAAAGCTCTGAGTTCAGGAATAAAATGATTTGCTATGTAGGAAAGACTGCATAGCAAATATAATTCTTTGTATGTTCTGGACTGTGAGTAACCCTTCTTAGTGCATTTCTCACTGTACTGATTGTATTGTATTATTATTATTGTATCATTTGTTACACTGTTTTATGTTGACTGTGTTAAGCTGCTGTTGCACTGCAATTTCCCTCACAGGATCAATAAAGTATCTAATTATTTGTTAAGCTTTAGTTAGAGTAATCTCTATGATTGTATTAATGGGATCCTTTTTTCAGGGGAGCATTCACACTGGTCCTCCAAGAAAGCTACAGTATGGCTGGTGGGCCTATGTACTTGGTGAAAGAACCACTCCAAGGTTCAAGGACAATAGCAAGATCATTACTGTAGATGGAAACCTAGCTTCTGGGAAGGGTGTGTTTGCTCAGAAACTGGCAGACAAACTAGGTAACTTATTTTTTCCATATAGTGATGTATGTATTGTACCTATCATATCATTTTGGGTTTTTTTAATTTGTCATCCAATTAAGTTTTTCTTCAGTTTGACGTGGATGATGGCATATTACAAAAATGTGTTCAGTCAATTCTGCGATTCTTCCATTGTAATGGTAGTAGATGGATCTCATTGTCTAAGTCAGTATTTCATATGTTTTAGGCAAAAATGAGGAAGTGTAGGTACACTCTTTCAACAAACCCACCTTCCAACCATTTGTCTTTTAATGCATTATAGCTAGCACGTGTACACTAGTGTTAACAGGCAAACACTAGAGGTTCAGGGGATGTGCATCCCTTATTGACAGCATTTTAAGCCTCAAAACTTCTGAGAGGCTTCACTGGTTGAGCCATTTGGGAAGTTGTAGGCTATTTTTAACAGCAAATGTTGATGTTAACATTGTCAGCTTTATGCTTCTCAAACAAAGCTCCTCCAAACTTGCAGCTTAGTTAATCGGTGTTAGCTTAGTTTTAAAAGGCTATATATTACAATTATTGCTGCATAACCACTACAGCTGTTGGACATCTTCATCAAACAAATGTTGTGGAAGGCCAATATAATTATTGACTGTCATGACCACCTCTTGCACAGTTAATTTGAACTCTTTCCATTGGGCATTGGTTTAGACTACCTAGATTCAAGTGCAATAGAACTAAGTTATCCTTTATTCCTGTTGGTATTAACCTGGTTATGTTTGACAATTGTATATTTTATGTTATCTGTTAATTGAGTTATGTAGTTTTAAATGTATTGTTATGTTTTTTAACCTGACCACAAAACAAATTTCCCATTTGGGACAATAAAGTAAGAAGTAAAAAACAAATGTTAAGAATTTTAATTATCACTGTAAATGAAGGAATATTGGACCTGTAGCCCCTTTAAAATATTTCATACATTTATTTTTAGGCATGCTCTACTTACCTGAGCCTGATGTCCATTACTGGGATAAGAAGATGGGTGATAAAGAGCTTTTGGATACCTGTTTCAATGGGAACTGCAGTCTAGACATGTTCTATAAAGACCCAAAAAGCGCAGATGGAAATTCTTATCGTCTACAGTACTGGATGTACCATATTCGATTCCTGCAATACTCCGATGCCATTGAGCACTTGCTTACAACTGGTAAAACCAAAATGAGCTAGGCTGGCAGTGGCCCCTTCTAAATCTGCATGTTTTGATCTGTTGAATGTTTTGTGTAATGTTTTTTTTTATCATTGGTAGGGCAAGGTGTTGTTCTGGAGCGTTCTCCCTACAGTGACATGGTATTCCTTGAGTCAATGTTCAAACAAGGATACATCAGGAAGCAGTGTGAGTGATATGTTTGATGATTATTATGTTTATTAAAATGAGGAATTTAATTTGAAGTTAGAAGGTATCATAATTGTGTGACATAGCCGTACATGAGAGATAAAGGGATAAGGATTTTAACTGATATTGAAAGCCGGTCTCATATTGAGAGCTAACATCTCTTTTCACAATTAGCATTATAGTAAGCCCCCCTCCAACTCAACCATGCCTCAGTGGAGGAAACTAATAGCTTATGGGAAAACTGGGAATTGGGGAATAAGGTTGAGCAACACCCTAAATAAAGTCTTGGCACTATAAACCATACATTTTTCCACATTATACAGTGTGGTGAAAAAGTAGACCCCTTCTAATTCTATGGATTAACATATTTGGATATATTTGATCTTCATCGAATCCAAATAGTAGATAAAACTAATCTCATTTGACATATAACATACAGCAATTATGCTTTGTCATTATTGGCTCACTGTCTTTGTGTGAAGCTACAGATGCCTCAGCTTGCAGCCTATCTACTGTAAAACTGTAATTTTATCCTTTCTTCATGACATTCTTATTTTTTTGCTTTCAGCTTCATGATTTGTTGATACTTCATGATTAGGAGACATAATGAAGGCATGAAACACGATTATAGAAAAACACACAATTATCAGCACAGCAAGAACAGTTTGAACAGTATGAAGCAAAATGGAAGCGAATGTGTAGACAGATGCTGGGGCTGCCTGGGAATGGTGTTCATAGAGAACAGATATGCATTTCTGTATTTTGTGAAGCCATTTCAGGGATCAACTATGTTGTATTGAAACTTTGGTGCTGGGGATTTTTGGTCAATTTTTTAATACATTTTTTTATGTTATGCTGTGGGAGTTTACTGTAGATTTTTTTTTTTCATCACATTAACCCTGGTCTTAATTAAAAATAGAAATAAAAAAAAACCTTTATGAACAAACATTTTTAAAACCAAACTAATCTAGACAGCCGTTTATATCTTTGCACCTCTTTTTAAGAAGTTCTTACTTTGTAATTTATTAATTTTAAATGTGCCTATTCTTGATTGCTAATTGCAAAAGTAGAAGCTCATCTATATGTGAATAATGTTCTTTACTAATCTTTGTAGGTGTGGAGCACTATAATGAGATCAAGGGCATCAGCATCTGTGAATTCCTGCCCCCTCACCTGGTTATTTATATTGATGTATCTCCTGAAGAGGTGCAGAAAAAGCTCAAGCAATCAGGCAAGGTTGGAAACTTTTGCTGTTAAACATATTAACAATTAAAACAATTAAATTTTCCTGCTACACTTTTTGTTTAATGTAGTTTAAAAAACATAAAATCGCATACAAATCACATAAAAATGTGATTGTTTAATACTCTTAATTAGAATTGAGACTATTATCTCATCCTAAGATCTTGTTTTTTTACCTGCCCATTGAACAATTTTATGGGTTGAAGAACCTGAAGCATTTGGGCTGTTCTTAAGAGTTTACATTTTGTTAGGTTTAGTGTACTCTACAATCAACATGTCTCAGCATTTCTGAGAATACTTTCAACTATTGCTAGTTCTGGGGCCTGTTAAGCTCTCTAGTTTTTTTCTGAGGTACTAAATTTAAAGAAACTGGACAAAGCGACAATTGTTTGGCATTAAATCCATCTAATTAATTGTATGGCACTGATTCATTATTCATTTTTCTCTATCCTAAAACCACTGTTTGTTGTTGGGTTACCATAAAGACTTTTTTTGTAGATATCAGGCAGTCCCAATTCAGTGTGTTATCATCCGTACTTCTTGCTATAAGTGCCTTCTCTGGCTTGTAGTATAGAGCTGCCAATTCCTGTTTTAAGTGTGTGCTTTTATGCTGTTACTGAAATATGCAGTCTAAGTATTTCCAGTGAAGTACGTTTCATTCCATAAGGCATGTAGAGGAGAATGGTAACTTTTCTGTCATTCCATGGGAAAATACGTAGCGGAAGCAGAAAAGCTATGACTCTAGTATTGCCAAAAGTACAATTTTTCTATATAAAATTTAATTAATTCTATGCTTGTGCAAAATATAGTCAAAACACTGCAAGATTTAATGTGTTAGCTTTTAAACCTGGCTGAAAGAATTCTGTCTGTATAAAAAAAACAAGTGGAAACTATTTTGTGTCAATAACCATAAGAGCTGAAAGTGTAAAGTTCAAGATTTGTTTTAAATGTATGTAACATGTAAAGTCTATAAATTGTTACAATTTGGTACTTTCTTTTCTAAACAATTCCCTTATGCAGAGCATTTAGGGAAGTGTTTTACATGCTGCATTGTCAGGAGCACGAGTATCTTTTCTGAAGAAAAACGTACAGCCTAAAAATTCTAACATTCTAGCAGAATCAGTTCTTAAGTTTGTGAAACCTTTGTGTTTAAACTAAACTGTATGGATAGTCATGTCAGGCAGAGGAAATTTAATAATTGATTAAGTTAAAAATGTATATTGTGCATATTTATAGTTGGTGATTCCAGATATAAAATAAACAAAATATCCTTACTGTAGTTAATCAATAGACATATCTAGCACTATCACAATATACTGATGGGGAAAAAAGAAACGCAACATTTTCTGGGATGAGAATACTATAGTTATAGCTTAGGTACTTTCACAAAACGTTGTCAATTTGTTTGTGAGGCATTGCAACTTACCAATCACATGAAAGCTTGTAAGGTGCACTTTTACCCAACGAAGTCCAGGTGGAACAATGCCTGATCACGTCACCTTTTAAAAAGGCCTTAATTCAAAGCTTAGGTCACTGCATGAAAAAGACCACACTTAGTCAGTTATGTGTGAATTCCATAATGCCTTGAATATCACCAGAAGCAAGGGAGAGGTCGATTGGTATACTGCAGGCTGGCATGTCATGTGCTGGTGTTGCCAGACACTATGGAGTTAGCCGCTCCACTTGGTGCTGGAGGACTGAAATATAAGGTTAGGTGTTTTTTTCAGGGAAAGGTCTATTGAGGATGCAAATGTATTCAGTCATTTCTTTTAAGGTATGTTTTTCATCATTATATAGTTGACACTTTGGTAGTCTTAAATTGATGGTTATATGGGAAAGTATTCTTAAAGAATAATATTTTTACAGAGAAAAAATACTGTACATAAATAAATTCACACCCCACAGAGAATAGATTTACATAGCAAATTTAAATCTGTTATTAGCTTAAAGTTAATATTGCGATCGCCTGACCAGGAACAGATGAAGACTGTCTTCATTGAAAGTATGTTACAATGTAAATTCCTTTCATGTGTCAATGTGAAAAGAGAAAGGAGACTTCCCTGTAAGAAATTTATGATTATGAAATGGGTATGGGTATACCATATTTTCAGTGACCTTGTGAGTCTTTTTACTGGATACCAAATCAAAGAAGAACACTTGTTGTCTGTCAGGACCTCAGGAAGTTACTTCTCTTTAAATGTGGAAAAGTATTATTTGTGATTATTATTAATTTTCTCTTTTGCCAGTAAATTAAAGAGCTTGGGTAGTCACTTGTCTGTTGAATTTTATAGGTTTATAAATGCAGAACTGGAATATACATAGTTTGAATCTTTAGTATTTTATCTTAAAACATGCTCATACCAGTTAAATTTCATACAGATTTTTATAAATAATATTTTATAAATATAATTTGATTAAGTAACAAATATGCTGAGATTCTTTCTAACCCTGCCACTTGTAGTTTAAGAGCCAGATTTTAAAATGCATCATTGACCATTCATTTTGCATCTTTCATTTATCTGAGGTATTTATTTATCAGTTGGTAAATCTCTTGAGAGAGCATTGAATGTAATGGAATATTTTTCTTACAGAAAGAGTTATAAGTAATAATGACAAATTGTTATTATTTCATTATATGTAGGGTGACATGCTGTAGCTTCAGTTCTGTGAGGCTTTGCTACACTAAGACAGTGTGTTTCAGTATTTTGGGCCATTGAGAATACTATGCTACATTTTACTAAATGTACATTTGATAATTGATTTTCAATGAATACAGTCATGTCTGCTGTAACACATTTCTATAGAACAATTAATAAAGTGATTGTTTTATTAGGGAACACTTTTTTATAACATGGGTGCGTGTTGGCTATAACATGACTCAGGCATATTGGAACTAGTCACAGGTGTAGAGTAAAAATGATTGCGCAGCAGTCTTACATAGCTTGGGTTGCTAGCAGATTTTCTTGTGCAGTATTTGTCCAACATGCATACGCATCAAAGTTGTGTATCCTTGCTCAGCTACTGCATTTCCTTTCTTTGGGAACATAAATATAGTGACGTGAAAAAAAAAGTACACCCTCTTAAGGTTTTACATATTAAGACATATCTGACCTTCACCTAGTCCTCACCAAGTTCTAACAGTAGATCTAACCTCATGTGACATGTAACAGTTTTGCAGCATATGATCCGTTTTTCTTTCTTCACTGTAGCAATATTTGCAGAATGTGCCACTTGAATATCTGAAGAACATAGATGTTGCATACAAAAAGACTTTCCTTCCACAAATCAGGTAAGTGCATGCAGAGCTGTCAGTAGACATGGGGAAAAAGACCATGGACCATATTGCTTTGGTTTCAGCTTGATTCCCCCCCCCCCACCCCCCCAGGGCTGATATGCTCTCATTTGCCAACACTAGAGATAACGTTTTGTATTCCTTTTGTATGTAATTACTTAAATGTGCATAGAAAGAATAGCATTGAATATGATAAAATAAACTGTATTTCATGTAATGTATGCAACAGATGTATGTAGGAGTGAAATATTCAAAATACTGGTAGTAGATACTTAGTATATTGAAAGTAAGGCCTTCCTCACAGGTGTGGCTCAAGTGTAAATTAAGCAAATGATATCCCAGCGGATAAGGAATATATATAGAAATGCTGAACAGACCTGATTTCCTATAATTTTGGCTAGCATGAGGACTTTAGTGAATCAAAAAGGCGATTGTTGGAGCACAGTTGGTAGGTGCTTTGGTGAACATGACTGCTCAGCTTGCTAATATTTCATGAACAACAGTGTCAAGGTGGAATTCTGAGGGAAAGACATCAGCAAAGGGCTATATTTGACTTAAGTGCATAATCTAGGGTTGGGTTGTAATAACCGTACATTGATTTGAAAAGCAAGGCAAAATAGATGAGTAACTGCAGATAAGTTTAATGCAAATTTCAACCCAATTTAATCAAAGACGCTCTGCTGAAACTTCAGAAGAAGATACTGTACCATAGTCAGACTGCAGTGTACAAACCACTTATCAAACCTAGTAATGCAGATTTGAGAATCCAGTGGTGCAAAGAACACAGGGGACCTCTAAGCAGTGGAGAAATGCAATATTGTCAGATGATTCATCCTTCACTGTATTCTTGACAAATGGGGCCAGTGCACTTGTGGTGCCATCCTGCTGTGCTTTGGGTCAAGTCAAGTGTTCTAGTGGTTCCTTAATATTGTGGGGTGCATTTTCCTAGTATGGTTTGGGTGCATTCATTCTTTTATATGGCAAGGTCAGTACTAATCGCTACATAATTGCGCTGTCCATTTGACTGTGTCTCTGACTGTTACCTTCACCCTGTGTTGCGGTGTTTCTTTCCTGCCAAGACAGACTTTTTCATGGATAATAATAGCCCCATCCACAGAGCACATGTGCCTACCCAATGGTTTGATGAGCGTGACCCCCTTAACAATATGTTACAGCTTTCGCTGTCACCAGAGCAGAGCCCAGTTGAGCATTTTTGGGGTATTTTGGAACAATGCCTCAGTAGTTTTCCACCTCTTATCAAGCAGGTGTGCATTGACTGACTTTATCATGGAAGAATTTCCTGTCAGCACATAGTGGACCAGCACTCCAATTGAGTGACTGCATTGGTGTTTGAATTTTTTTGTCTACTGCCTGAAAGTTTCATGTGCTTAACATATGTTTACATATCACAAACATTACCCTCTAAATTCATAACAAAATACTGAAATTTTAGGATAAATGTCTTTTAGTATTACTTGCCTAGTCTCGTACAATGATTTCAAAGTTGATCTTTGGTACTATCCTTCACCCTCATTCCTTCAGTTCTAAAATCATCATCTGGAATTGTTAATATAAAGTATAATACTTTTCATTTGTGTTCCAGTGAGACCTCTGAGGTGTTGGTATATGATACAACTCAAGTGCAGGATATTGAGAAGGTAAGGGCAGATACAGTGCCTTTAGAAAGACTAAACCCCCTTGAACTTTTTTCACATTTTGTTTTCTCAGTTCATTTAGGGAAAACTAAGGTTGCTGCTGGAAGAGGTGTTAGTGGGACCAGCAGGGGGTGCTCACCCTGTGGTCCATGTGGGTCCTAATGCCCCAGTATAGTGACAGGGACACTATACTGTAAACAGGCATCGTCCTTCGGATGAGACGTAAAACCGAGGTCCTGACTCTCTGTGGTCATTAAAAATCCCAGGGCGTTTCTCGAAAAGAGTAGGGGTGTAACCCCGGTGTCCTGGCCAAATTCCCCATTGGCCCTTACCAATCAGGCCTCCTAATAATCCCCATCTATGAACTGGCTTCATTACTCTGCTCTCTTCCCCACTGATACCTGATGTGTGGTGAGCGTTCTGGCGCACTATGGCTGCCGTCGCATCATCCAGGTGGATGCTGCACATTGGTGGTGGTGGAGGGGAGTTCCCATTACCTGTAAAGCGCTTTGAGTGGAGTGTCCAGAAAAGTGCTATATAAGTGTAAGCAATTATTATTATTATTTAAATGTTTTTTCCTTTTTATCTACAGTCCATACTCCGCATTAAGGAGAACAGTGTTTAATAGAGGAAAATACATAGTAAAATGTGAAACTAAATATCAAAATGCTATTAAACAGAATCAATACTTAGTGGAAGCTCTTTGGCAAAAAATACAGCTGTGAGTTGCAATAGGACTCTACCAACTTTGCACACCTATTTTGGCAATATTTGAGCATTCTCCTTTAAAACTCTGTTGAATCCCTGATAAGATCCTTGTGTAGTGTTAATGGACAGAAATCTTCAAGTCATGCCACAAATTCTTTATTTGATTTATGTTAGGGCCTTGATAAGGCCACTTAAGGACTGTTTTGATCCTATAGCTTTGCCAGTGTGCCTCTTGTTGTCAAGATAAAAGATGAACGTCCAGCTCAGTTTCAGTTTTCTTGCAGAGGGCAGCTGGTTGTTCCTCAAGGACTTTTTTGTACTTTGCTCCAAAATCATTTTCCCTTCTATTGTGGCAAGTGCCTCCTTTCCTGTTGATGGGAAACATCCCCATATCATGATGTCATTACCACGTTTCATAGAGGAGGGATGGTGATGTGCTGTGTTATGTTTGCACTGCATGCAGTATGTTTTACTTAGGACAAAAGGTTCTATCTTAGTTTTGTTAGGTCATTAAATGTTTTTCTATATGTTTGCATTATCAAATTTCCTTTGTTGCCAATTTCTTCTGTAATGGCTTCCTTCTTACCAGCCTGCCATTCAGGGTATATTTGTGGAGCGCTTGGGGTATTATTGTCATACACACTTTGACCAGGACATAAAGACCTGTAGCCCTTTCAAAGTTGCCAATTGTAGCTTGCTCAAAAAGTGCTAAAGTTTGATGGATGGCCTGATATAGTAAGGGGCTTGGTTACATCTTAGCTAATTTAAGAGGTCAACATTTACCTTACCAAGCTATTTCTTTTTTTAAACATTTTTTCGTTTTCTTTTTTACATTTTAGATTTCTAGAATGTGTTTTTTACTTGTAACTTGTAGGGTAATATGTATAGATAAAATATGTAATACTTTTTAATTTCAGGCTATAAATTAACAAAAGGTGAAAATAGTCATGCTTGAAAGTTTGTGAACCCATTGCATAATTTGAGATTGTTTGGTTTTTTTAACCACAAAATGCATATTTAATCAGAATTTGTCACTTTCTATTTGAAATATAGTATAATTATTCACCAATTTGAGTGTTCTGAAAGAAAATGTCCATGCAGAAAAATAATACACACAGTATACAGAAATTGTGCAGGTGCAAAAATAAGTGACTATGACTTACATCAAGGTAAAGATGGATCAGGAGGGTCAATGACAGTGTTAACCAATTAACCAAGATCACCAATGAAATTGATGTGTTAGGGAGGAGAAAAAATAAATAATTGCAAGAAAGCAGGTCAGTTACTCTTTCTACGAATGTAACATCAAGCCTTGAACTAAGGAAACATCAGCAGAACTGAGGAAAAAAGTAGTGGATGCTCATTAAATCTGGACAAGGTTATGGAGCCATTTCAGAAAGATTCAGACTCTATAAATCCACTGTTAGGCAAATAGTATACAAGTGGAGGGCATTTAAAACAATGACAACCCTACAAAGAAGTGGCCGTCCTCCTAAAATTTCACCCAGGGCCACAAGGAGAATAATAAAAGAGGTAAAAGGTAATCCTAAAATAACATCCAGGGATCTACAAGCCTCCCTAGCTGCCTTTGGAGTAGTGGTGCATAAATCAACAATCAAAACCCAGAACAGAAATGCCATCTATGGAAGAGTCACCAGGAAGAAGCGTCTTCTGTCAAAAAAAAACTAACAAAAAAAGAACAAAGATTGCCAGAGACCACACAGACAAGCCTGACTCTGGACAGAAATCACAAAATTAAAATGACAAACTAAGGTTACATAATAATGCATAATAGTGCAATAGAAATTGAATAAAATAAAGCCAGACAGAGCTCAATATAAATAGAGCTGCGATGTGTCCAAGGTGCATGCAATACATTATGTCCAAGTAGTGCAGTATGCCAAATACAATGAAAACTGTATGTCCATGTAGCCATTACGGGTGATTTGCTGAAGGAAATGCAGCTTGGCTATTTAGCAGTCTTATTGTCTGGAGGTAAAAGCTTTTCCTCACCACTTGCAGAACTTCCGTCAAGAAGTAAAGGATCCAATTACAAAGGGAGGTATTCAGTCCCAGGTCCTGGACCTTGATGACAAGCTTTGAGGGCACTATGGTATTACAGTATTTAATGCTGAGCTTTAATCAACAAACAGCATTCTCACATATGTACAGGTTTATTATACAGGTGGGAGAGGGTAGTGGCAATAGCATCCTCTGTTGACCTGTTCTGGTGATATGCAAATTGCAGTGTGTCTAGGGTGTCAGGCAGTGATGAGGTGATGTATACTTTCACCAACCGGTCAAAGCACTTCATGATAACTGATGTGAGTGCAACAGGGTGGTAGTCATTCAGGCAACTGACTCTGGGTTTCTTAGGGACAAGGACGATAGTGGCTTTCTTAAAGCAGGAAGGAGCTATAGACTGAGCTAGAGAAAGATTGAATATGTCCGAGAAGACATCTGCCAACTGGTCTGCACATGCCTTCAGAACACGGCCATGGATAGCATCAGGACCAGGAGCCTTGTGTGGATTGGTCTTTTTAAAAACTTTAAACACATCCGCTCTGTAAATGATCAGTGAGTTTTCATCTTGGATTTCTGGAATCCTGGTTTGATCTGCACCTCCAACTGAGCATAGAATGAATTTAGCTCATCAGGAAGAGAGGCAGATGTGTTGAGAGCTATATATGTGTGATATAGCTGGGTTGCATCTTGTAGTGGTGTAATGGTGCTTATACCACTCCACGTGTTCCGTGTGTTGCAGTCATGATAATATGACTCTAAATTAACTCTATAGTATTTAGCTATTTTGATGGCTTTCCTGAGGTCGTTTCTGGATTTTTTGTATTTATCCATATCGCCAGAATTGAAAGCAGCCCTCCTAGCTTTATGTTTGGCATGTATCTCACCATTTACCCATGGTTTCCGATTGGGTATGTGCGAACACTAATCCTGGGAACCGTGTCTTCAATGCATTTACTGATGTAGCCGGTAACATTATCTGCATACATATTGATATTTCCATCAGGCTCGCGGAAGATCTGCCAGTTAGTGATAGCAAAAGAGTGACTTAGTATCAAATCCGATTCATCTGACCAATGTTGAATGGTTCTTAACACTGGCCTCTCCTGTTTAAACTTCTGCTTGTAAACGTGAAGTAGCAGAAAGGAGGAGTGATAGGATTTGCCAAAAGGAGGTCAGGGGAGGGCTTTGTAACCATCCCGGAAGGGAGTGTAAACATTGTCCAACGTGTTTGCAAAGTTCGCACCATTGAAATCACCCACTATGATGAATGCCCCTTCAGGATGTGTATTCTCGTGTCTGTTAAGGAGACAGTGTAATTCATCCAGTGCCCTTGTGAAATTTGCCTGCGACGGTATATACACCACTGTGAGAACTGCCGATGTACACTCCCTCAGGAGATAGAAAGGGCGACATTTTATTGTCAAGATGTGTAGAGCATGATGTTGAAATAATCTCCACGTCTGTGCACCAGGAATTGTTTACCATGAAGCATACCCCGCTGCCTTTGCTCTTACACGAATCCGTTGTTCTGTCCCGACGGTGAATAGAAAATCCTCCCAGAAGGATAGCAGAGAAGAATATCAGGCCGTCAGTTGAAAACTCAAGGTGGACACAAATTGGGTGTTACAACAAGACAACGATCCTAAACATTCAAGTAAGGTCACTAAAGAATGGCTTAGGAAGAAGAGGTTCCGTGTCCTGGAATGGCCAAGCCAAAGCCCTGACATGAATCCTATTGAAATGCTGTGGCAGGACCTGAAGATGCAAGACATTCTTCAAACCTCACAGAGGTGGTAGAGTTTTGTAAAGATGAGTGTAGAAAAAATCCCTCCAGCAAGATATCAGAGACTGACAATTGGTTATAGGAAGTGGCTGTGTGAAGTTATTCCTGCTACAGGAGGTGCCACAAGTTATTGACTGAAAATTTTTACTGAAAATTTACTTTTGCACACAAGCATATCTGGTGATTTGTGAAAGATCACAGTCTAATAATCTATGAGTTCAAATCCATTTTTATGTGTGGGAAGTCTTTATTTAGGATATTAATTCTATATATTCATTAAGAGTTCAAGTTAATATAATATCTCTATAATATCTAAAATAATGATCACCTTGAAGGGTTCACAAACTTTCAAGCATGACTGCACTTGATATATGAACATAGAACTGGAAAATTGTGATTTCATATTGTTACTGTTTTATTCTCAAGCAAGTTAGAGTGCTCCATCTGTATAAATGGGTACAAAAGTCACTGTAGTTAAAAGCAAAATGAATACTTTCCCACTTTTGTTGCCAGTGATCAATTATTGATGTATTGGTATTAGACTGAGTTTAACACCAAAAAATGATTCCAAAATATTAAGGGATTTGACTAAAACAATCTAATTTTTGTACTTGTCAATTGTTACGTTGTATTGCCATAAGGATGAAGGACTTTGTGTGAGAAGTTTGTTACTCTGTATTGTTAGTTACACTTCATTTGTTCTCAGCAACCCAATGCAGGTTTCTGAAATTGATTTTTAGATGAAATCATAGTTCTTACTTTATATTTTCACATACTTGTATTTCTACTTCTTTTTCCTATGTTCTTTAAATTCAAAGGTGGTAGAAGACATTGAGTATCTGAAGTTTGAAAAGGGGCCCTGGTTGGAACAGGATGATGTCACTTTCCATTACCTCAGAATGTTGTGAGTATTTTAGAAACCAGGTGTTCATTTGATATATAATATCTAATTTCTTAGATCTCGTACCTTCCATTCATTTCACGGAATTAATTTAATTAGCTTTGTCTTTTGCTTTCAACTCCACTTTTTCCAGTATATTGTTCTTTTGTGAGATGTCTATCTGGTATTTTGGACTTAATCAGTTTACAGCATTATTCATCTGGTAATATGTCAAGTAAGTCAGTTGTTAATCTGTATTGTCATGTCAAGTAATTTCAAATAGTTTAACTGGAATTAAGATTTTAAAAACTGTTTTGTTTGAAGGTAATTCATATAGAGTTTGTCAGGGAATTTTATTGAAGAAGAGGCAGGAGAGGTATTCTCATTCACTCAGTAAGGTCTTTATTCATATTGCAATATTGGAAAAAGCCATCACCCGTCTGTGCAGAGAAGTGAAAGCTGATTCAAAAGCAAGCAGGGAGAGCCCTTGTTTTATATCTTCAAGGACAGGCAAAGCAGTAATTTTCCATTACTTATAGGTTTTTGCTTTTAGCAAAGAAGAGCAGTTATTCAGATAGTTTCTCATACTCCCTTCTTCAAGCAGCAGAGATAAACATTATTAAAACAACCCGTGCCCTTGACGAGTTGGATTTATCACACTTTGTTCTAAGTATCCAGCTGCTTCTGCAGCTTCTGTCCGTAAACAACATTTTTAGGATAAAACACCTTTTCTCAGTAACTTTCCATTACAAGTTTTACTTAGAGGTGCTTTAAAAGCCATTACTGCTGTTAATGTGAAAACACAATAGTATATTTATTTTTATTTATTGTTGCAATTGTTTTGTGAAAAAAGAACAATCATATTGTTTAATATACATGCAATTATGTGAAAAATAATCAGCAAGCCAGTGTTTTGCTGGCAAAAGCTCTGCTTGTTTTGTCATTTCTTTGACAAGGCCTTGAGAATTAAAAAAAAAATACATAAGTGCAATAAGATCAACAGGGCTCCTTCATAAATCACAACATAAAACATGTTATGCTTTTCTTTCATTGTTAATTAGGTAGATGGGTTAAGAGGTTGTTTAGGGTGTTAGACAAATAGAACAGCTGCCCAAATGGTTTGAAATATTTTAGTTGCAGTTACTATGACACAAGGAGAAAAAAATCCTTACACTTTTAGAGAGAGGAAGGAGAAAAAGGTTATTGTTAATTCAAATAGATGCATGCTTTTAAAGCTCTGTTTATAAACCAGAATGGAAAATTCAAGTTTCTAAAAGTTTCTGTACAATGACAAGTTAAAGAGAAATATCCATCCATCCATTTTTTTTCTGGTTTATCCGTGAGAGGAAACTAGAGCACCCTCAAGAAACCCACGTGTACATGGGGAGAACATACAGATTCCGTGCAGATAACACCCCAGGTTTAGAATTGAAACCAAGGCCCTAGTGCTGCAAGGCAGGAATGCCAACCACTGCATCACTTGCTGCCTAATTTAGAATTAATTAGAAATATACAGTGTACATATTTCACTTGATATGCATACTTGTTCTATCAAAACTTTTGACAATACTGTACTGCATGCAGTACTGCTCCATGAGAACCTGTACATGAAAATTTCCTTTTCGTTGTAAAATTCCTTATTAATATTCAATATTAAACGGATTTAAACATGCATCTCTCAATAAGAGATTAAAAAGCAATCGTTTCACTAACAACCAATGCACCACGAGTGGCGCCTGTCGGTCATTTTGGCTAGCCAATCATGTACTGCGGTATAACGAGCTAAACTGTAGATAATTTTGTGCAGTATGAGGTTTTACTGTGCATTTTGAATGGCTGCATATGTATGTTACCTGAGATTTCTCAACGTGGTAACAAGATGGGCTGGCAGTACACATGATGCCCGAATTTTTGACAGCAGTCATCTGAAATCAAATTTTGAGGAAGGATTGTATTGTGGAGTTCTCGTTGGTGACCGTAGTTATCCTTTAGGAAGGTATCTTCTGACACCTGTGCACAATCCTACAACATTACAAGAGCTGCGTGATAACAGGAGTCATAAAAAGCCACATTGAACAAGCTTTTGGAATTTTAAAACAATGCTTTGCTTGTCTGTCATTTGGTTTGTGTACCAGTCCATCAAGAGCCAGCACCATCACCATGGCATGTGCATCTGCTAAACGTTAAAAATTGTATGTTGGCGCTGGCACTTGTTTATTGATATTGCAGCTTTATTTATTTTTATCATCTGCTGTTCTCATTAAGGGTTGAAGACAAACAAAAAGTTGCAGACCTTACCATCATCCCCAGGTACCTGCCAGAAGTGACCATTGGAGGACATGAATATGATGAAATCTATTATGCTTACAGATCGGTAAGGGAAAAAAAAGTTTTGATACTGCCTAAATTCATTTAATTTATTCAATCTGTTATTTTTTACCTGATTTATTTCAGTATCTTAATCATTTTTTCCTTTTCTACTTAATCTAGAAAATGTAAATTACATTTAAGATCAATTCAATTCCAGTTGCCATTTTTCTTTGAAATTGTCGAAATTGGTTTTTGTCTGAATGGAGCTTTCTAGGGATATAGTTAGCTTCTGAAAACAAAAGATCAGTTATGGTTATTAGAAATACTAGAGGGGTGACAAAAAAGAGGAGGCTATCTGGCTCACTGCTAATAGCCTTATGATCCAAGAATCCCATCAAGATGTTTATTAAGCAACATGAGAACAAAAAAAAAAAGAAAACTGTAAGGAATTTGAAGGCTTCCAAAAGCATTCAATTTTAATGAAATACTATAGAAAACTAATGTTGTTATGGAACACATGCAGCAAGGAAATAATGTATAAAGATTTGTGTCTTCAGTAATCTTCAAAATGTGATACATTAGCAAAAATCTGTTGCAATATATTATAGTAAAGCATTGTGGCATTTAGGTTTCTTTATTATTGGTAGTGACAATTGGTAAGTATTGGTAAGCCAGGGATAATACCTTATTATTAATATTAATCAGTAACAAAGTGTAAATACAGTAGCACAAATTACAGTTGAGAGTCAGGTGGCTATATTGGTATAGGAGCATTGTTCTTTATTATTGTATTTGCATCTTTCCTGTTGGGTTTGACTGTTATAACCTAGTTTTTACATACTACCAGACAAGATTGGTCTCTTCAGGCTTGGTTCTCTCGGAAAATACCCAAGGATACAAGCATGAGATGTCTACGTTAGGGCATAAGATCAGCATGGACATGATTTTGGCCTTACTGTGTGCAGATGTTGACGACTTATACAGATCCCATAGTTGTCCTCAAGTCACAGAAACTAAGGGTTCTAAATGATTCTATTAGTCTTATCCACCACATACTTCAGATTTACTTCTGACATATTTCGATCCCCAAAAAAACGTTTATGCGAGAAAAAAATATCTAATTGGTACATTTAACGCAATACCAGACACCCATTACCCTATTAGTTATGTAAATCAAGGGTATACTGTACTTAATCACATTCCTATCCTAAAAGACAAGTAAATATTCTTTTACTGTCTTGAACCAAACTTTTTTAAACATGTTTGGAATGTTGTTTTAAATCTTGAAAATATAATGTGAATTTATAAGTTTATACTCAAATACTCCAGGAAAGACATTTCTGTTTATTCCTAAGGCAAAATTCAATATCAGTACAATGCTTACCAAAGGGACTCTCCACCTGTTTTTTTTTCATGTATAAATAGTAAAACTTGGAATTCAGGGCATTATTTTTAAAGTAATTGACTATTTTAAAAACAATATCGATGAATTCATGTAACGTTTTGCGACATTGTTTTTATCGCTCGCCATTCATATGGTCATCTAGGTCACATAACCTCTGTTTTTTCTCCAGCACACACAAACCAGATTTCTGCTGCCCATAGCTAGACCACTGCCCAGCCCTACTGTATTACTGGCAATTGCAACCTGCAGGCACTACCCAAAGTCTGCGATCACTAGGCTCCCCCAGAGTAATACACTCAGCATTATTATACTACGTTGAACATTTTGGTTATTTTTTGCTCACTATGTACTTATGCTTATACAGTCATCTATTTCTTTAAGATCAGTGTTTCTGATTTTCAGTGTTTTGAAGAAAGATATAAGATGAGAAAAAGGGGTTAACTGATTTCTTTCTGCACAAAGACTTCTTGTAACGCGAGACATTCCATGCATAGGCACCTTTACGTTATGGCAGGGATGGGAGTTAACTGATATGAAATTCCAAGTGCAAGATAAAAACCCCCCTAACTAAGGAAAGATAAAACTGACCATTAATAGTGTTGCTGTGAAAAGCATTGTAGGGATGTCAATAGCAAGTTTATTATTACATATATTAAATTATTAAATGTAATAGGGGTAATCCCTTTTATTATTTAAAAAGTGTGTCAGCTAGTAGAGATGTAGTAGCAGAACTGCAGTATTGAAAGCACACAGGTTTCTTGCATTTCATAATTAATAGGTGCGTGCTGGTCAGAGAGAGGGTGTAGCATTTTCTAACACCCCACATTTTTTACTTCCTGTAAAAGAAATTTACTTTTCCCTTTTTTTCAGGGGGAGAGGGGGAAGAAAGTGAGTGTGTGTAGGAGGAGGTTAAAGAACAGTTCCAGCTGCATTTTGCAAGAGAGCAGAATACTGTATTGTATACTGTAATAATACTGTGGTAGTGTAATTTTATTTTATTATTACAGTACTGTAATAATCATCATAGCAGTTATAAATAAGAATGAACCATTCCAACTTATGCAAATTACTTTATAAGTTTTATGTAATGTAACCTTCTGTAAAAGGGGGAGTACCTATATGTTTCTGATAACACAATGTAACGTGTGTTTCTCTGCAAACGTAGTTCGGTGTGTTAATATTCAGTATCTTGTTTTTGTTCCCATCCACTCAAAAGTCGTGTTTCAAGATTGTCTATATCAGTGGTTCTCAAACTATGGTACACGTACCACTCGTACTACGATACAGTGTGTGCTAATACTTGAGTGGACACAAGAGCTACTATGTAATTCTATACCATAGTTTAGGAATGCGTGCTACGAACGTAAGTGACCAATTGTATTTAAAAAAAGTTATGTCCAGCAAATAGGTAGGAGAATGTGCTGCCCCCTCTGAAAGACAGTCACTCATAGAATTATTGAAATGACAGATGATATCAAACGTAATTAATAATAATAATTGCTTACACTTATATAGCGCTTTTCTGGACACTCCACTCAAAGCGCTTTACAGGTAATGGGGACTCCCATCCACCACCAGCAATGTGCAGCACCCATCTGGATGTACGCTGATAGAGCACGTTAAGATAAGGAGATGCTTTTCACTGCAATTAGATGAGTCTGTAGTCAATTTGGACAATTTGCTTGTTTATGTTAGATACGAGTTTGAGGGTACGTCCCATGAGGACTTTCTGTTCTGTAAGCGGCTACCAACAGGAACTACAGGAGAGCACATATTTCAGCTTCTGAATGAATTTATCGAAGAGAATGGCATCAACTGGATAAAATGCGTCTGAGTTTGTACAGACGGTGCTAGAGCAATGACAAGCCGACACAGCGGTGTAGTTGCACAAATTAGAGAGGTTGGTCCGGAAATGAATGGATGCATTGCAACATCCACCACGAGACCTTTGCCATCAAGAAAATGCCTCACGATTTAAAATCTGTTAAGAATCTGTTGTGAATTGTATCAAGGCTTGAAAAATGAATTCACATCTGCTTTGCTCCACTAAACAGGCTCACCCCTCTCACTGAAATGGTGCTTTTTTATTGTTTATTTTTAATCGTTGTTGTTCCTGTTTTTTTTTCTGTAAAGTGCTTTGAGAAGCCACCTTTAAAGGCGCTATATCAAATAAAGTTTACTATTAGAATATTTATTATATGTGTATGTGAGTGTGCACGCACGTGCACTCATGTTGGTCATTGAGAATTTCTGGGGTTCCTATGAGAAGATGACTTGTAGGTGGTTCTTGGTTCTGGATCAGGGGTGGTACTTGGTCCAAAAAGTTTGAGAACCACTGGTCTATATAGTTGAAACTGAGCATTTAAGTCCTCAGCCATCGCCACATCCTTCGATCTCTCTGTTACAATCTCAGTTTTTACAAGACGCACTAGCTGCTGAATTGCAAACCTTCCAATGTATACATTTTGTGTATTCAGTGTGTTTTGATTTAGTAATAAATGGCCCTTTTTTGTTTCCCTCGACCAAAGCAGTCTGATTCCTGTGCTGTCAATCTGCCCTGAATGCTGGTCCCACTTCCCTCCTGACTTCCTGGCTCTTGAGGAAGCCTTCAATGTCCACCATGTTAAGGATCTTCCTTACTTTATTCTTTTTAGCACCCTCTTTCCAGGGTTGCCTTTGTCACTTTGTCACACTGTCTTTAATTTTTCTTTCCACTTCCCAGCCACCTTCCAGTGCCCCAGGGCTCTTTTCTTTCTTTAACCATGAGCCCTGCCCATGGCTGTGTTGTGCCATGGCTCCAGCAGCTGAGAGAGTACCCGAGCATGAGCATGACCCGTCATCAACACACACCTCCCCTAGTTTGGCCCACAGGGCAACTGGGTATCAACCGCACCCAGGCGCTTCCTTTGTGGAAATGTTTCTTAGGAGACTTGCCTGGCCTTGGCTCGGGATGAGACCCTCTGTTAAGGGTGTGCGCTTAGAATTGACCAGCTCTCAGGCACTACGCCTTTGATGAAGTTCCCTGCCCGGCCATTGCTGGTTAGACCTCTCCATTCAGTGAAGCCTCGCAGGTGTAGCACAGTTGTGGATCTCCCTGTCCAGCACGTCCCTGTCCAGCTCATCAGTCTGTCAGTCTGTTGGAATGCACCCCAGACTATGCAGATAGCTTGTCCTCCAGAATTTGCAACACCCTTCCTCAAGACCATACAGTGTGCTCCGAAACCAAGAAAGCAACACTCCAAATCCTCAAGTTCTCTGACTTCGATCAGCAGTCTCTGGTGCTTAGTCCTGACAGCCTTTGTCATCCCTGCCTGGGATGCAGTGAGCCCACGTCTTTCCAGACTTTTGTATCCTAGCCCCTTGTCTTTTCTTCCTGACTGGTAGGGACTATCGAAGCTCTGCTTGCCAATATTTCACTATTCTCTTTTCACTCTTGTGTTTCTTTCCTTTCTGTGTCCTGTCAGTCTGCCTGTCTGCACCACTGGCTATTCTAGTGGGCTGTACACCTACACAGTGCAACCTCCATCCTTCGGAATGGAAAGTTGGAATGGAAAGTGGCGATATACACAAATGGTTGATCAGTCACTACAGAATTACAGGAGATACTAATAACACATACTAGTAAATATTCTTTTTTTTATTAATCAATCTGTATCAGTCATGTACTTGTTTGGAACAATACCTTAATACTTGAATTTAAATATGTGAACAGTGAATGTATCTCAACAGAACTGAGAACTCTTAACCAGTTGCATTTCTGATTTAAGTTTTAAAAATTCAACAGAAAGGAATAGTTGGATCCATGTCCATCCATCTGGCCCTGCCAAAAGCAAGAACAGGGAGGGATTGGTTAGTGGAACAATAAAAGTTAGATCTCAAGACTTTAGAGTTGGGTGGTGAGTTCATGATAGGGAGGTTAAATTGTGAGAAACAGTCTTCTCACCAGTATATTGTAGTGGCTATGCTGACTTTTCGTTGCTATTCTGTGGTGTAAACAAATGTCAAACTGTTATTTCTGTGACAGGAAATTACAATGGTCATCTTATCACAAAATGTATTTTGTCACTGATGAGGTCTTGGGCAGAATTCTGGTTTACATATGACCTCTTGGTCCAGCAGTTATTTTTGGTTTCTTATGTTTGGTTAAGTTTATTTGCTACTGCGGTTTGGTCAATAGTGGTCAAAGTCATGTCATTCGTTACCAGGGTCTCAGAGGGTATTGTAACTGCTTATGGAGCAACATTTAAGTGACATCGTCACAGGTATTCATCGGTTGTGACATCATCAGGTGTAGTAGACATTCTTATATTACATTTTTCTCATTGATGGATCACTCTGGCTGTGTCAGTGGATTTATGACAAGGTTTAAATGTGCATCCATCTTGGAGCTGCTGACCTGAGAGTGGCCCATCATGCTTTGTGCTTTTTGACTATAGCCCAGCTAATAAGTCTTTTGGGCAGATTTTAAAATTGTATTCATTAGTGTTTCTAAAGTTAGATTTAGTCACAAAATATTTGGTATTTTTCTTTTATATTTTTCATTGTATTTTTAAGAGTTCAATATAACTGCCTTTTCACTGGTAATTTAAATGCATTTTTCTTTAGACTTGTGCTTAGATTAAGATTCCATCTTTAAATTTGATATGGCAGTTCAGATTATTATTCTGAAATAAAAAAAAAACAAATGAAAGTGCATTTGAAACTCCATTAGAAATCATAATTTGATTTTGTATTTTAAGTGTTTTAACAGCAACATGTTAGCACTGTTTTCCTTTAAACTAATTTTATGTTAAAATTCCCTTTGTAATGCTGTTGAAACTGTAAGCAAAATTTAAAATGTAAGGCAGGTTTTCTGCATTAGTTTTGACAATTAGCAGATGTATTATAAATATATGCATAAAGACTCTGCACTTTTTGTGATGCCATGAAGGGTGGCTCTCAATCCAAGCACAGACCTCTCACGAATCTTAAGTTAAACAGTGGTTTATTGACTGCAACTTAGTGGATAATGGCTCTGGCAAAGTAGATGGGTGGGCATTGTACTTTTTGAGGCGGCCTAGCATGTAGGGAGTGGGACACTCTCCTTTACCGTGGCTATGTAGGTGTACCAGAAGCCTGCATGGTACATTTATGGCTCAGGGAAAAGAGGTGTGAATTTGTGTGTGTTTGTGTATGTGCGTGCCCTTTGATGGACTGGTGCCCCTGGTCATGTCCAGGGTGTATCCTGCCTTTTGGCTGTTGCTTGCCAGGATAGCAGGATGGGCTCAGGCCCTCTGCAACCCTGTATGGGATAAAGCAATTCATACATGGATGAATTCCAATTATATCATTTTAATTATTATTTTAATTGCCTTATGTTAATATACCTTAATTTTGTGGCTTCTTTCTCTTGCATTTTATTTCTAATGTTCTTACCATTTAACTTACAGCACTTAATTACCTAGTTCTTTTGGGGCTTATTTTTCCCCTGGGTTTTCCTTTTGACTTACTCTCTATCTTCCTTCCCAGTTTTTTTGTGAATTCCTGTTTAGTGATGACCCATTCTCACCTCATTTAAATTTAATTGATCTTGTTTGTTTAGATGAGCCTACTGGCATAGAACAAAGTGTAGGTGATTAATCTTTCACTGAGCATAGTTACATAGGGGTTCTGATCATTAACTCATCCAGCCATTACTAACACACCTGTCTTCAGTCAACAATCCATTTAGACATTTAGACATGTCAGTGACTATAAGAATAACCCCATATTGACCATCCAATTCTGTGCTATGATTGTATAACTATAACACCATACATTACAGCGTTGCACTGTATTTTAAAATGAGCCACTTGGGCTTAAAATTAATCAAGGCTTAGTAAGCTTTAAATGGCAAATTAGTTAAGAGTTTAATTAAAGTTTAATAGGCAAGTAGCTTTGGCAATATGCCTGTAACATTAGATGGTGCACTGAATGAAGACACTGTTGTTAGTTACACAATTTCAGTTTTGATTATTTTGTAGAAATGTATTGATATCACCTAACTTGATGAATGATTAGTTGCCATCCTCTTTGGCATTGTAATATGAGTGTTCGCAGTCACCATTCATTCAGACTCCTCATCCTCCACCTGTGCCAAAGTCCACAATGGCATTGGACTGAGGAAGAGAGCCATAAAGCAATGTTTAAACTTCCTTTGAAATTCCTGGAGGACAGGAATTTAACTGTGGCTAGTCAGTATCGAAGAATTGGTCAGGTGAACTCCTCCCATCTATAGCTATGGAGGCTGTAATGCCATTTGAAAGCAGTCAAGCAAATCATGAGTTGAACTATGAAGTTCTGTTAGGTCTTTGCCACCTTTTTCACTCTCAAGACACTTGGAGATCAAGTATTCTTCTGAATTAATGTGATTCACTGGAATGTGCTTCTGTTTATAATTTTGATATCCAACCTAATTACAATGATAAATAATAATATACGATAAATATATGTAGAAAATGCATAGTAACAATTGTGTGCATAGCAGATTAACTTAGCTTATCCATACTGACACTGTCCTGTCTTTACTGTATACAGTAAATCTAAATCTGTCTTCCTATGTTCAGTGGATCATGTGAATTTGAGATTTCTTATATACTGCTTATTTTACAAATTATTTTTTTGTTGTTCTTTTTATGTCCAGCTCCCTGGGAAGAAGTATGCAGCGGGATACAATGAGGATGCAGGAGACAAACATATCTGGTTAAAGTAAACAATGTGGAAAATAGTAGAAAGATGGCTACAGAACAAGACAAATAATTCAGGAATTTATCTCTTAAAAAGGAACTTTAAACAAAACCTTTTTTTGTAAAATGTCAATGATTTTGTTAATGCATTTCATACATTTTTATTTTCCTTGAAACATGCTTGGGTGGAACTGGTCATTTTCATTCTTGAACATGATTGTTCATCTGGTTAGGATTATTGTATGTAGTCAAATCTGCCAGTATCCTTTTAAAGATAGAAGACTCAGAAACTATTTAAATCTTCTGCTAAAATAATATAAGTATAACTGACACGTAGCCTTAACATTATAATCTAAAAGGAAGCTTTTATATTCATGAATATTTGAGTTAACAGAATTTTACTGGTTCAATATTCCACCATTTTGAAATATGCATTTGTTTTAAAGCTATTGTTCATTTTGAATTGTGTAGTACAAGGAATGCAGAATCAAAGCAGTTTTGTATTAAAAATATCACATAATTACATTGTCCCTCTGGCTACTTTTCTGCAGTTTCTGTGATGGCAAATGCATGACAGTGGTACATGTCTTGACAACTGTGTGATTTGGTTTGTTCTGTGGATATTGACTGTAATAGGGCTTATTAAACTTATTGATGATCACAAAATATACAAGCCTCCTAAGTGAAAAGCTTTTGAATATCTTACTCCTTATACGTGCCTGTTTCTTACCTAGATAGGAATGTATCAAGAGCAAAATGAAATGATTGATTTTAAAAAACAAAGTAATATCATTCCCACAACAATCTGTGGAGTATGTTGGTACTGTATAGTCCACAGTTACAAATATTTGGGCACTGTTTCCAGCAGTACTTATATGGTCTGAGTTAATTTGGAGTCCAAAAAATAATTATTTCAACATTCTATTCTATATCTTTTATTGAAAGTATTATAGCTTTGTTTTCTGTAGTTGAGTTTACACAGCCAAAAAGACAAAAACCTCAGCTCTAAAATCATTGGTGAGCCTTTAAAGGGGAACTGCAAAGCTATTTTTATATAATAATTAAAATGTAATAATTGCTTACACTTATAGCGCTTTTCTAGACACTCCACTCAAAGCACTTTACGGGGAATGGAGACTCACCTCCACCACCACCAATGTGCAGCATCAACCTGGATGATGCGACAAAGCCATAATGTGCCAAAACGCTCACCACACATCAGCTATCAATGGGGAGGAGAGCAGAGTAATGTAGCCAATTCATAGATGGGGATTATTAGGAGGCCAAGACCGGTAAGGGTCAATTGGAAATTCGGCCTGGACGCCAGGGTTACACCCCTACTCTCTCTTTCTCTTTTAAAGAAACACCCTGGGATTTTTAATGACCACAGAGAGTCAGGACCTCGGAAGGATGGCGCCTGTTTACGGTATAGTGTCCCCATCATTTTGTAGGACATTAGGACCCACACAGTGTGAGTGCCTCCTGCTGGCCCTACTAACACCTCTTCCAACAGCAACCTTAGTTTTTCCTAGGAGGTCTCCCATACAGGTACTGACCAGGCTCACACTTGCTTAGCTTCAATGGGTTGGCAGTTGTGAGTTGCAGAGTGATATGGCCGTTGGCCCTATCATCTTGAAGTTGGAACAAATCAGCATTGATGAGTGCATTTCAAACCTCAAAAGAATTAAAAGTACACAGTTACTTGTAAAACATCTAATTTATATCACAAAATAGACCAAAATTCCAGGTGGGTACTCGACCATGCTCTGAGATCCAGAATGAAGCAATGAAACGTATAATAATGTGTTGTTTCCTTATTACATTGTAACGAAGCAGGCAAGTAAATGCATCTCTTAATCCAGTAGAATTATTGTTTTCAACTTTGAGGTGGTTTTGCCGACAAATACAACTTAATTAACTGCATGCAAATCGCAGTGTAACATTTTTGTGGTGTAATGTCTGCAGCCCAACATGTACTTATTCACTTGTACATCACATTACATTTGTCATTATGGTGACTAGTGAGCAGGAAGGGCCACATCACGTCACAATTTAGGGAAACTGAATGCGTGTTTGTGACATGGCACAATTTGTGGGAAACTGAATGCGTGTTTACGACATGGCGACTTACAGTACTCTCACAAAATTCACCATTTTGTGCTTGATTTGTAATTTGTCAATTTCAATGTGCAGCACCCACCTGCATGATGTAACAGCAGCCATTTTGCACACATCAGCTATTAGTAGGGAGGAGAACAGTGATGAAGCCAGTTCATACATGGGGATTATTAGGAGGCCATGATTGGTAAAGGCCAATGGAAAATTTGGCCAGGGTACCTAAGTAACACACTACTCTTTTTGTGAAATGCCTGGGGATTTTTAATGACCACAGAGTCAGAACCTCGGTTTTACATCTCATCCGAAAGGCGACACCTTTTTAAAGTATAGTGTCCCTGTTACCATACTAAGGTGTTAGGACATGGGGACAGATGTGGCCCCATTAACATCACTTCCAGCAACAACCTTAGTTCTTCCTTCAGGGAATCTCCCATCCAGGTACTGTTACTGTAGCTTCAGTGGGTTTCCAGCTGTGACTTGCAGGGTAATATGGCTGCTGGCTATAATCCTACACATGGTTACTTTTATGCAATCATTTGAAAGTGATTGCCTTATGACAGACTAGGGTCTGTTTGCTGTTTTTATCTATAAATATATATATTTTTTTTCTTACTATTTGCTGCTTAAATTTCCCCCCTGGGGATGAATAAAGTATTTTTAATTGAATTGAAGGGTGAGCCAACCTTCCAATGATCTTTGAACTTAAATTACATACAGAATAGCTGAAATACTATTTTCAAAAACTATATATTTAGTTGCGATCTCCTTCTTGCAGTTTGCCAGTTTAAATAAAAACTGACTCTTCTCACAGAGTAGAAATAACACAGAACAGTTGAAAGAGTTTAACCAAGTGGATGGACCATCCCATTCCATGAGCTCTTTTAATAGAACACTGATAGAGCATTTTGCGAAAACCAAAATCCTTGAAAACTGGAGGCACTATTTACATATACAGTGTTTAAGTTTGTATACACAGGTGACAAAAAACGTAGTCTTATTTCTCATTGTTACACATGCATTGAGCAAATTCTGGTTAATTTTAAATTACATATTTTTAGAATCACCTGTACCATTGTCACTCAATCATATTGTCACCTGGTTAAACCATCTTAACCATTTTCTATCATTTTCTAACTATTCAGATGGCAAAAGATTAATTTAAGAAAGCACTGATAATCCATCTTTACAGTATACAGTACTTTTAAAAAACATTTATTTCACTTAATTTACTTTTGTATACCACCTATATGCTGAAGAATGCAGTTTCTCCTTTACTTTTTATTAGTTCTTACTTTTGTCATAGAGTATCTGACAATGCTAATGAAAAACCAGTACTGAATGAAAGAATTGAAAGTTAATAATAAATTATATTTAAAAATAAAGCATATGTCCAGTATATATGTCAAGTTTGAATAGCTGCATAACTCCTCAGGAGACGGCAACTATTTTATATGTATCAGACCCAGAATATCTGCATAACTGTATGTAGGACAGTACTCAGTCTGCAACACTGGTGTAATGGTGATTTTGTGTTATATGGGGGTCTATAATGGGATTGTGAAAAGTTATTCTGTTGTAAATACAACAGACCAACTTTTCAAAGACACACGCTATGAATTATTTAGGTGTTAATAGGTATTAGCCTATGACAATACAATTTTGGAATAGGCAACAAAGAAATTTAATCAGAGTATTACAATATTAAGCAGATAATATTATAGGTTAATACCCAAGTGTTTCAATTCACTACTAATAGACTAATAAGGATAAGGGCAATGTTAGAGAGAAAGAGAATTAATGCAATGGGGAGTATAATGTAACTGAAAACAATATTAATGGAACGGTTAAATGATTATCTCCAATTCTTTTCTGGTATCAAGATAACCTACATTTTTCAAGCCAAGGGTCATTCTTTTGGTCATTCATTTATTTGCTATGAGCCCAGATGTTGCAAAATTTCAATAGAATACAACGCAGTCTATCTTTCTCAACAGCCTATATCTATTTGAATTCATAAAAATGTATACCACAAAACAATGGAGTTTTAATTTAATCTTATTTTCAGTATAGATAAAAATAAAAGCTGACAATATACTGTATGGGGATGGGATTAGGCAAAACAACACAACTGGTCTGTTTTAAGTACAGGATCAATTGTGATAAAAGAGCAGTGAAATGCAGTTAGCTCTCTATCTGCAAGGAATCTGATTCCACAAAGGCTAATTTCTCAGACCATTTAATGTTACAACATACAGTACCTACAGTATATAATGTTACCTTCAATTATTCAGATGCTGATGTTCGGATTTATTTCCCTAACAATTTTAACATTGCTCTTTTGTATGTTTCTGTCCATGTTTAGCAGATAAAATTACAATTTATACAGTTTGAATATAAAATGACAGGTGATGCTATTGGTGTAACGTGTAATTTGACCAATAGTGTAATGTGCTTGACTTTCACATCTTCATCAGTAGTTTGGGGATTAGGTCAGCCTCTCAGGTGTTTTTGTCTAGTCCATTTTAAACTCGTGTCAGAAATACATACCTATACAACCTAATCTTTTTTATAACCTAGGTAATTTTGCCCATTATAGCCCATTTTGTCCAAGGCAGGTGCAGTAGGAATCCATTCTGTGGAAAAGAGAGCCACACCCCGTTAACCTGGACACCCTGAGGATTCCTTCACTTTCAGTCTCTGATTGAGAGCTCAGTCCACAGCTATGCTGACTCTGGGTTCTGGAAGATGAAGGGCAACTAGAGGGTGGGTCACTTTGTGAACTGCTCCCTTCAGACATCTCCCCCGGATGATTCAAAGGGCTCCTGGGTATCCCTTGCCAAAGTGTTGAAACTGGGAGACCGAGTTGACAGTGCACACCTGGCGGAACCCTATGCGGAGCAGGGGAGTCAAGGCAGGAGAGCTTTTTGATGAGTCCAAAATGTTTGGACTCATCAAACCTTAAACAGAGAAAAAAACAGCAGGACAACAGACAATATTAGACAAGACAGCATTAAAGGTATTTGAATAGTATTTGATGACAACACAGTGGATCAACAACAGGTATTTATGTACAACATAGAAAATGGCAGTAAGAGGGACATTGACGTTGAAGCTGAACTTGTGACCATCAAAATAGAGGTAAGGACTATAGAAAAAGAGTTCCATGAGTTGCTGGAACAGCAATCAGAAACCAGCTTGAGAAAAACATACCTGTATGTGGCTTGTGACCTTTTCTGCACAGCTGGTCCTGGCCTGGCCCATTTGGGCTCAGTGGTCATGAACTGCACAGGGAATCCAGTGTCATGGTTACATCTACACTGTGGGCTACATCAATTCCCCCTTACGACCATCCTAATGTAATTAGCTTTGGAGACTCCATTGTGCAAAACCTGGATGCTGTGATAGATCTGTGTAGTCTTAAGGATTTTAATGTTCACTGTTTCCAAGTTTCTTGGCTAGAGCTCCAAGGAAACTGATTGACTGATGACCGATTGATGCCTGACTGAATGGAAGTCAGACTCCAAGTGTCATCTCCCAAATTTCCCATT